CGTGTTGCGCCGGCATCGTTGTTGCCTGGAAAACAATATTATTGAACTTTGTCTTACTTTCAATGCGGAAGATAAGAGCGTCACATGGTCCCGACGATGAGTTTCATGAACGTGCTCAATTTGTTGATCAAAACTTAGAATTTCGAATGAGAATATTACGTATTTCAATGCTGTAACCGATGTAGCAACAGCAACGCCGACACAAACTCGCCCCACGACCAAGTTTACGACGAATTGTGACTTTCTTAAGCAGAAACGAAGGATTTCTCTTAGAATTTTCATCAGAAACAAATAAAAATCATCCTCAACGTAATCACTGGAATGTATAACGGCATTCACGTGTCGGCCAATTCGGTGGTGTCTTTCGTTTCTACTTCTCTCTCTTTCTCTCTGCAACGAGAACGTCTGTAAATCTCGGCCCGGATATTAATCTCTCGTATATATCCATCGTCAACAATCTGATATGAAAAAATTCACTAACCGTGATGGGACGTAAACATTTATCCTATTAAGTCTGCCGACAGCAGCTCTTCTGTCTTCACAAACTCTCCACGGAGACGACTCGACCAAGTGTAACGTTCGAGTTTCGATACGCGGGTCACTGATTATCGCTCGTCGAACTTCTTATTGCCTAGAAATAGGTTGCCTCGCTCCTTTGAGGAACTCCTCTAATATCCTTCCAGATTCCCACCTGTTGTCAGCGACAGTAAAACCTTAGCAAAGTTTCCCCAAGTGGATTACAGATATTATATTTCATATATACGTCAAGACGTGTAATTCTGATTTCCTGTAGAAAATAACGTTCTACGTTTTAATATACACGTCACCGGAAAGTGAGCATGTTTATAATTGATCGTAAGCTTAAAGACGATTAATGTTGACTAGAGGCGATAATCTCTTGGATTTTCTTTTTACGCTACGAAGCTGAATCCTCTCTATCTTTTCCATTCGAAAGTCTTCGTCTAGGAATTGAGGTTTCGTACGGCAGCGTTTACATTACGTGAATTATGCTTCTCTTCCTTCCCTTCGCTCTCGTTTATCGAATTAGCGAAATTCTAGCATTCCAGTTAATAGATCTAATGCATGCTAATAAATCGGTAAAAAGCGGAAGTACTGAATATACAATTGCTCGGTTACTTTTCTCCCGTAGGAATGTTTTCCGCGTGTGAAGCAAGTTCAACGTTTCGGGAATCCTCTTTTTTTTTTTTTTTTTTGCAAGAAATGTATAAAATGGTTTGTTGTACATGTCATCCGTCTGCACGTGATAAATATTCGTGTTGTTTCGCATCATCACACTTGAGCGAATAGATATTTCCTGCAAATTATACCAGAATATATCGAAGTTTCACATCATGCACCGACATTATTTAGTCCATCGAAAGTAAGAACAGCTATGTATTCTACGGGCGTTGCGTCCCTCGAATAATAATTGAGATATCAAACTGCACTGCTGATATACCGGAATCTCTAATTAATGTTTCTTATATTTATATACGATATATATCATTACGGATGACTGCGCATCATCTATTAAAATTGACACGTTTCATGGCTTGCGCCTTATTAAAATAGTTGCACATATATATGTGTGTGTGTGTGTGTCTTTTTGCTCAACTGCTTGCGTAACTGTTTATATATCGCCGAATAGAAAAACAGCAGAGTAATCATGTAGTTTCAGAGTGACTGTCTTGCGTGTGGAAACATCGGCTGATCATGGATTCTCCCATTTGTTTCCATCAGACGTTAGCATCATTCACGTAGAATAGAATTATTCGCTCATGTTCCTTTAAGCAATAGGATACAAGAGTGCTTCGATCCAACTCCGGGAACTCTGTGTTAGCAAAGCTAAGGTTGCTATGAACGTTCTGTGCGCTTCGAATATGCAGGTGTCTCCAAAGACATGTGTTCGTCTTCATTATTACTTAGGATATGTCACTTTGTACAAAGTCTCGTCTTCTAAAAAATTGTCTTCTTTTGATCAATAAATTATTGACATGTTTTGAACATCGTTTTTTTTTTTTCCTTTTCGAATAAATCCTAAGAATAAAGAATGAGAGAGTACATATACGTTTTCCTCTTACGAATTACTCTCCGAGAATTCAATCTCGTCAGATGGCGAAGCATCATATAATTTATCTTCGATAACAAATTTCTTTAGTTTAGATACGCGCTGCTGACTCTTTTCTACCGATGGAAAGCTTACAAGAAGACAGTATGAGTATGAGGCAATTTAAAAGTTACAACGCTGGCAATTAATAGTACCAACGCGGTTAATAGCGCGGGCGCGATTAAAGGAGCGCCTACTAATGTCTGATATGTTGTAGTTCCTATCAGACCAGATATTTTTGTAGCCGCTGCTATAAGTCCGAAACCGGTGCACCTAGAGAAGTTATGTTAGTGAGTGTTGCTTCCTCGATTTCTCTTTGAAAGAGTAACTTCGATTATTTTCCTTTAATATTCTTAAGATTTTCACTTTCTTACCGTAAGTGCGTGGGGAAGCTCTCGACTGTCACCAAAGTTAACGATGTCCACCCAACGGCGAAGAGGGCTGTGAAGCCACCTTGAAAACCAAGAACTGCCGAACTGTTTCGGTGTAATAATATCAGACACAGCGCAGTAACGGAAGAGAAAAAGAGTGAGAGACCTAAACACAAAGAATAAACTCTTATTAATTACAGTTAGAGGCTAAAGATCTATTGCTTACAAAAAGATTATCAACTAACCAATTAGTTTTGGCCGTTGAAGAACGGTAAGTGCAAAGCCCGCTAGCACGGCAGCGGGCACAAAAGCCAATTGAGCAACGAGATGAGCATGCAACGTTTCTTCGATATAAATATTATAATCCAGATCGAGAGCCGGACACGGCCCGCTCAAGCTTAGTTCTGTGTTATTTTGCAATTTACATCTGGTGAAAACTTGCGCAGATAAATCTGTGTCAACAAATCTGTAACGAAGTACATTTGTCCAGTTATATTGAGAAATGTAAAAATTCACGATTGCGCACGCGGTATAAATGTTTATACTTACTTCGAATATACAATTTCACTGTCTCTAAAGTGAGTTTTGCTAGATTTAATGCTACTAAACTCTACCGAGTGGAAGGTGCAATTGTCAAAGTCAACATGGCTAAAAACCATTTTAGTAAATCTGCAAAAAAATATGATCAAAATTACGATCGACGAATATAATCATCCGTTTATTCATTGACGTGTGAAAGTTAATGTCCTTACTTGCAGTTCTTGAATGTGAAGTTCCTGTATTGACGATTTTCCCAAGAGCCAGTAAATGTTAAATTACTCTGTTCTTCGCCATGATAGTGCTCGGTGTGAGCCTCGTATTCTATCGCTCGCAGAAGTTTCAGATATTCGGGACACCATATCATGAGACCGAAAAGACTGAACACAACACAAATGGTGAGTCCTTGTGAAATTCTCAACTACAGTAACGATTAATCATCCAAATGTGGAAACTTACCTGAACGAAGAGGCGGACCAGATAATTAACAGGATCAGAGTCACGCGTAAATGTGGTGCTGCAAATAACTCCAGAAACGAATTCCAGAACTACGCGCAAAGAATAAATTTAGTCTTGTTATCAGAATATCTTTTCCTAAATTCTCTAAGAAATCTTTTTGAAATATTCACCATTTCGATTGAATATATTATGTCCGCCAAAACGCTAGTGTGATTACTCGGAGATGGCGGTGCCAAGCCGCGAGGTCTTTTAGTCGGAAGTTCCAGTTCAGAGAGCTGATATTGAGCACCTGTTGCACCTCTCCGTGCATTATTTTTCTTATATATCCTCTGAAACATTAAGTCATTATAAGCGACGTGCTCATTAAAACATATTTTAAAAAATGCATTTTGTTATCGTTTATTTTACACGCACCTGATAAACCATCATTGCTTCCACGTCTCGACCAGCCTCTACAAGATATCTCGGACTTTCCGGTAGAAAGATAAGACTGAAAGTGGAGCAGATCGCCGGCAGACAACACAGTAACAGGAAACGATGCCAAGCGCTGAAGTGTCCTTGTTTTCTAGGACAACCATTTCTCCTGTGGTAGGTACCACCGCCCAAGCCAAGAGAGCAACGTATACACCACCGAGTGCACACACTGCCACGAGTATTCCTGTCCAACGGCCTCTGCTTAATCGTGGACAGCATTCCGCAAGATACGCGAATGCCAGTGGTATAGCTCCTCCTACTCTGTGAAGGATCAACCAATACTAATTAATAATAATAATATTTGAATAATTGTTTTAAACAGAATGCTGAATCCTACATAAAGCACGATAGGTAAAAAGATTTATATACCCAAGAGCTGAGCAAAATCTAGCCGTCATAAAAGTGCCATAAGTAGGCATAAATGTCGCAACGCTGGTGAATAGGGCATGTATGGCCATAGCTGATAAGAGAGATCTTTGTCTCCCTAGCCTGTCCCCAATACCACCCCAGAATAATCCTCCCAGCGCAAGACCGACAAGGGTGATGTTGCCTGGAAAATAATATTACTTAATGTCATGAGACAAACTTATCTAATGCAAAAAAACTATGATATCTTACCGAGCCAGCCTTTTTCGCTGTCCTCGATGCATAGCTCAACCTCTGCACTTGGCAGTATGTAAGGAACAACAAAAAATTCAACGGTATCAGCTGCAAGACTCAATCCTGTGCAGAAAGCAGCGAATATTTGGAAGTAACCCACACCAGCCTGTAACACAACATATCTATTACAATAATAATTGTTATGTTATTGAACCATCAGGTTGACACGTGTCAGTTATTGATAAGTAGAAAGTACAGAAAGTTTTAATTTCGTTGTAATTGTAATTAAAGATATTCCTTCTGTTCATTCATCTCTTCTGACTGAAATTAAAATTTAAAACACTCGCAGCGAGATTATTGATGTAACCTGCAATGCGTAATGTCAAACAAAAAGTAATTACTGGAAAATCCTTCAAATAGCCCGGTACCTCGCGCGGTGCGTATTTTGCCTTGACGATCGACTCGTCCAGGACTTCGTCCATTTTGCTAGACTAGAAAAAGAGATGAGGGCTCACGGGCGAAAGGATGGAGTCATTCACCGTGAATAAGAAAAAAAAAACGACGCCACTTTAACTAGGTTATGTTTTTATTGCGTTCGCATATTTTTTTATTGCACCCAACGCGCTGACGGCCAATAAAATGACGATTTGCAAACTCGAATTGACGAGAATGCATTAATCGATTAGTACCTAGCGTTATCGATACTGTCACACGCGTTTCGAGAATCGATAATAATCAAAATCGATCGTTTGAAATGGCTGCTACGATAAACAGAGTTGATTATTAATTATAAGGTTATATAAGTAAAATATACAAAATGAACGACATTACGGTAGATAGTTTGATAATTTCATGTTTTCCGAGTTTAGAAGCCACGTGATCGCTGATATTTAATATAAAATTAGCTTCAATTAAATCCAAACTCTTAATAAGTCTCTTTTGTTCATTCTGTCGCAGGCACGACTACAACTTGAAGCAGAGTAACGACTTATCAGTCGTACTTTGTTAATTTAAAAACCCGGTAATTGCACTTTTAAAGCGATATCACCTGTTTAATGGCGTCTTCGTGAAACTGCGCCAAGAGGGTTGCGTCCGCGGTAGAATCTATGAGATCGTGTTCCGCGGAATCGGCCGAGGCCGAATTCACGCCGGCCGTGGCAACATTCGCCGGCTGCGTCGTCATCTCCTCGGTATAGAGACCGGTCCTAGTACCCAAGACGCGCTCGCTCGCACCCGTTTTCGTCGTGCTGTTGCCGGAAGGTGCGAGGCCGCCCCCGCTGCCAACAAGCCACTGGCTTTCCTCCTCCGATGAGGGCATCACTGCCAGAAACCATCTGAAAGCCAATGAGAAAATGAGCGTCACTAAGAAGATAAATTCCTCGTTAATCTCATATATTTCAGATACGTTCGATAATTATATCTAATATCTTTTGAAACCATATTAACATTCTGTTCTAGCTGCATTTCAAATATTTTCGGTGAATTGAACTTGAAATCGCAGTGTCTACAAAGGCGGAAAAAGGTGGTAGTCGCTTCTTGATAAGTCGGGCTACAATATAGTGCAGATAAGATAAAGACAAGGACGCAAGATTGAATCAATATTGACATTTGTCAGACATGCAAAGCCGGAAGTTGTACAGAAAACAGCAGATCAATTGGAAAACAATTCTCAATGCGATAATAAGTAAGTTTTTCGATAGAGACGCCGTGCCTGTTTCGTGTACATCGCGTGCAACTTCCTTTGCAGCTTTATTTACCTTCGTGACGCTTTAGTCGACGTTATTGATATAATATTGAAGTTAGTTCGACGGTAGTTTTACATTGCAACGAAACAAAAAACAATCTTATAATATATCTTAAATATACATTTTAAAATTATATATTATTAAGCCTGGATAGAGACAAGAGATTTATGAACAATGGCTGATATTGCATCTCGCGGTGGTAAAATTTATCGCGCACTGCATATGCGTTCATGGAAAGGCATGCGTCATGTTTCTGTCATAAGAACGGTTCACTGACCATTGTACACGACATTCGTCACAGTGACAAGTGAAATATTCCACCGTCTTGTCGCTCAACTGCGGGCTAATGATGAACAAAGCTTATTAAAGTCGCCGGAGAAAGCGCAGAAATGTTATTAATGTCGCGTTGCAGTTGCGAGGATAATCGAGGTGTGCGAGTTAATGAATAAGAAAAATTATATCATATTATTTTATGAAATTTTACATATCTTTGGCCTCAACAGTGGCCTCAACGATAAACTTTTTCTTCACAGAAAGACAAGATGTTTAACGTCATTGTCACTGTCGCAGTTGTTCAACTCACGCATCCCACGACGGATATGCAGCCCCGTTTATTGTCAACCTTACTCGGCAACCTCAGAATAACCGGAGCGGCTTCCGCGTGCACTTACACTTCGCGACGGTAATTCAGCGTTTATGAGCCCATGTCGAAACACGCAGAGGTCGTGTTCTACCAAGGCTGATTAATTCCCGGAATTAATGCGAAACCTGCCGGCAACGCGCGTATTACAGGCTCTCTTTCGCATGTCCATACTGATTCATCGATCTGCATTAGCCGTAACACGACTTTCTGTGTACTGTACGTGTACACAGAGCCCTACGAAAATTGTAAAAAAAAACCATCTACATGTAAAATCCTTAAAGAGTCCGCAAAGTACCTAAAAATGAAAAAATACCGTAGATACAAACAATCCGTGAACTTGTAAAAAATAATAAAGAGAGCCCCTAATATGCGTCATAAAACTTGATATAAAGTTCAAACTGCGGAAATAATGCGCATATCATAAAAGTTTTATCTTGAACAAAGCATTCATCTACGCTTTGGTGGGCATGTAATACGACGAATTCCTGTAACCACCTTTATCAGCTTTATCTCGCGAAAAGGTGCAGTATTACGTCAACGGTTCCCAACTGTTAAAGACAAAAGGCGTGTCGCTACGTCACCGATCACAAAAAAAGTGTTAAAATTACACTCTTCTGTGGCGGTGAAAGTAATCTTCTCGTATACACGTACGTATCGACGTCTTGTGTCGACGTATTTTCGACGAAATTCGAACCTCCGCGATTTTCACGCGTGTTGTCTCGCAATTAGTTACATTTTTGAAACGCGTCGGCGCTTTGTTGCGGGCGCGACCGCATACATATACGATTTATCGATTCGAAACACGGTTCTGATTACACGGTCGCGTAGCGCACATACACTCATGTACATACATTTTCCCAGCGTCGAAGTGCTCTCTCACACATGCAAACGTATATGTCGAGTGCATAAGCGTCGCGTGCATACACGTGTCAACCTCGCAGTCGCCAATGTCGCCGACAGTCACGGCCGCGCCGCGACTGGCGTTTTCGCAGTCTCTCCTATTTTCTTACTCGTTAGTTATTTTTGAAACGCGACCTAACATCAGCGGTGGTTAGCGTTTCGTCTTTACGCTCTTTTATTTATTTATGAAAACAGAAATAATTGTCACAGACGCGACCGAGAAGCGGCAAAGTTCCGGACTGACTTTAGAGTCGGTTTGCTCTTCCGCAAAAACTTGCACAACAAAATTGTATAATTGATCAAACTTCGTATTTGATTTATAGACCTTAAGAAGATTGTACTTCGACATAGAGAAACTTCGCTTGACGCTTACACCTACTTGCCAAGAGATTTAATGTTGCAAATTGGACAAGTCATGACGAATGATGGATGACATCCTGCTACGTTTTCGCTGAGAAGAGTTCGACTCTAAATCATGCCAAAAGTTCATCAGAGACGCTTCGTACAATTAT